TAATGATCAGTGATGTTAATTACATTCTTCACATTGTGTCAACATTGTTTCTGGTCTAGTTATTTCACTTCCATTTACTTAATCTCCCTGCCCCTCAACCTTCTCACCTATACTTTAACATAGCTGCTGAACTTTTGGTCTTACATAGATAATTTTTTTTTTTTTTTAATTTTAAATGCAGTACTAAGGGTGACAATCTTTATTCTTTGGGTTAAACTGTTACTTAGTTTAAAGATGACTTACAGGATAATTTCAATTCAAGGTTGGAAGAGCAGCTCAGGGCCATAGTCTTACGGACTCCTCCAGCCTCAGTAGGCCCAGTAAGTCTGGATCCTTTAAACTCCTTGTGATTTTGATTTGCATTTTCCTAAAGACTGATGATATTGATCATTTTTTAATGTGCTTATTGGTCAGTCTTATATCTTCTTTGGTAAAATGTATGTGCAAGTCCTTTGTTCATTTTTAAATTGGGTTGTTTGTCTTTTTGTTGTTAAGTCCTAGAAGTTCTTTGTATATTCTGCATATTAAACCCTCTTCAGGTATATGATTCCCAAATATTTTCTCCCAGTCTATAGGTTGTCTCTTCACTTTGCTGGTAAAGTCTTTTTATGCACAAGAGTTTTTAGTTTTGATAAAGTCCCGTTTGTCTATTTTGTTTTTGTTGCTTGTGCTTTTGGTGTTACATCCATGAATCCATTGTCAAAAAACTAGATCTCGAAGCATTACTCCTATGTTTTGTTGTAAGAATTTTATGGTTTTCATTCTTACACTGAGGTCTTTGATCCATTTTGAGTTAATTTTCATATATGGTGTGAGGTATGGGGCCAACTTCATTTTTTTTGCATGTGGAGATCTAGTTGCCGCAGCACGATTTATTGAAGAGACTCCTCTTTCCCTGTTAAATGGACTTAGCACCTTTATTAAAAATCAATTGACCATAGATGTATGGGTTTATTTCTAGATTCTCAATTCTATTTCATTGGTCTGTGTGTCTGTTATTATACTAATAGTAGACTGTTTGATTATTGAAGCTTTATAGTATATTTCAAGGTTGAGAAGTATAAGTTCTACTTTGTTGTTGTTTTTCAAGATTGCTTTGGCTGTTCGGCGACCCTTCCAATTCCATGTAAATTTGAGGATTGGCTTTTCCGTTTCTGCAAGGAAGGCTGTTGGAATTTTGGTAGGGATTGTAGTGAATCTATAGATTGTTTTGTGTAATACTGACATTTTAATGATATTAAGTCTTCTAATCCATGAACACAATGTTTTTCCATTTATTTAACTACCTTTGTTCTTAATGTGCCTCCTTAGAATTGAGGGTGGTTGGGTGGTATGAAAGATAGTAAGTTTACTTTATTTTCCAGAGAGAATGTTGCTAATCCTGTTTTTACTTTCTTTTTTTTTAAACAGGGATCTCTTTGTCTTAGTTCATTATTTCAGTTTCTGAAATGGCAATTTTCCATACATGGACTATATCTTCATTGTGCTGCTGCCACCATGTGGCCATGGTGGTGATGTTATACTTCAGATAGATTTTATTATTTTTCCTATATCCAGATTTAGTTTGATTTTGTTTATTGCCAGAGGAGACACAATTACACCAAAGAAGATATGCTGATGTGTTTTAAGGTCTGGAATACTGTAAAATATATAAAGATTTCACAGTGGTTGAGACTCTGGAGTAACACTGCCTAAGTTCAAATCCTGGGACTGCAGTTGTATAACTACAGACAAGCTACTTAACCCTCTGTCATAGTCATCTAGTGCTGCTGTAACAGAAATACAAGTGGTTGGCTTTAACAAAGAGAAATTTATTCTCTCATAGTCTAGTAGGCTAGAAGTCCAAATTCAGGGCCCCACCTCCAGGGGAAGGCTTTCTCTCCCTGTCGGCTCTGGAGGAAGGTCCTTGTCTTCAATCTCCCCCTGGACTAGGAGCTTCTCAGCAGGGGGACCCCGGGTCCAAAGAACATGCTGTGCTCCTGGCACTGCTCTCTTGGTGGTATGAGGTCCCACTGTCTCTCAGCTTCCTTCTGGCTTTTGTATCTCGAAAGAGGTTGATTTAGAATACAACTGAATCTTTCAGATTGAGTCCTGCCTCATTAACATAACTGCCGCTAATCCCACCTCATTAACATCATAGAGACAACACGTAGGAAAATCACATCAGATGACAAAATGGTGGACAGTCACACAGTACTGGGAATCATGGACTAGCTAAGTTGACGCTCATTTTTTTGCTGGGGGCACAGTTCAATCCATAATACCTTCCAAGTCTTAAATTTCCTCAGTGTCATAGTATCTACCTTTAATCATATCTAAAAATTATATTGTGTCACAATACAGGGGAAACTAGCACAACTTGTACAAGGAAAGGTCATAGAAACCCCATAGACACATCCAAACTCCCTGAGGGACTGAATTGCTGGGCGGAGGGCTGTGGGGACCATGGTCTTGGGGAACATCTAGCTCGATTGGCATAACACAGTATAAAGACAATGTTCTACATTCTACCTTGGTGAGTAGTGTCTGGGGTCTTAAAAGCCTGTGAGCGGCCATCTAAGATACTCCACTGGTCTCATCCCTTCAGGAGCAAGGCAGAATGAAGAGAACAGGATACAAGGAAAAGATGAGTCCAAAGGACTAATTGTCCACAGCTACCAAGGCCTCCACCGGACTGAGTCCGGTACAGCTAGATGGTGCCCGGCTACCACCACTGACTGCTCTGACCAGGATCACAACAGAGGGTTCTGGACAGAGCTGGAGAAGGAGGTAGAGCATAATTCTAACTCACAAAAAAAAAAAGACCAAATTTACTGGCCTAAAGGAGACTGGAGAAACCCCAAGAGTATGGCCCCCAGACACACTTTTAGCTCAGTGGTGAAGTTATCTCTGAGGTTCACCATTCAGCCTGGGAGTGGACGGCCCTGTAAAACCAAATGGTACTAATGAGGAACAATAGTCCAGTGACAAGGGCCAGAAGGCAGAAGGGGACAAGGAAGCTGGTGATAGGGAACCCAAGGTTGAGTAAGGATATTGTTGATGTGTTGTGAGATTGTTAACCATTGTCATAGGGCAACGTGTAGTAACTGTTAAATGAGAAACTATTTTGTTCTGTAAGCCTTCATCTTAAGTGAGACTAGCAGCACAATTGGAAGAGCGTAGTCAATGTCACTGAACTGTGCATGTAGAAATTTTTGAAATGGTGTATCTTTGGCTATGTGTATTTTCACCAAAAAAAATGTTGAGAAGTTAGAGGGTTGACATGTTGTGGGGTTGTTAACCAATGTCATAAAACAATATGTGTACTACTGTTTCATGAGAAACTATTTGTTCTGTAAGCCTTCACCTGAAGTACAATAAAAAAAAAAAATTATATTGTGTCAATAAGTGAATTCCCACCTCCGAAACTTATTGCCCTGAGATGATCTTTAAACCTTGAACCAAAAATATCTCCTGAAGTCTTCTTAAAAAAAGTTCTAAAAAGTTTTAAACATTATAAAATGAAGTTTTAAAAACCAAAGAAATAATTAAAAAACTTTTTTTAAAAAATTCAGCAGTTTCTACATGTACAATTCAGTGACATTGATTTCATTCTTCAAGTTGTGCAACCATTCTCAGCCTCATTTTCTGAGCTGTTCCTCCCGCATTAACATAAACTCATTGCCCCCTAAGATTCCTATCTAATCTTTCAAGTTGCTGTTATCAATTTGATCCCATATAGATAGATCTTAAAAGAGCATAATGCTCAAGGCAGACATTCTTTACTAGTTAAGCTGAACTGTTGTTTGGTTTTAAGACTTCAATGGATATTTTTGGTTTAAGGTTTAACACTTATCTCAGGGCAGTAGTTTTGGAGGTAGGAATTCATTTCTCAAAGCTTTATAATTTTTGGATGAGGCACTAGGACACGGGCAGGACCTCCATGGTTTTTAGTTATCATCTAAAGTCTGGTCCCGGGGTAAGTCTTTGAAGGTTTTTGCAGAAAGTGCAGTTTCTAAGGAGTGAAAAATGGGTTGACATTAATTAACATTTTGAAAATTTGTGATTAGAAGTGAGAAAACTCAAGGGTTCCCAGTACCTACTACTCCTTTGTACTTCAGAATTTAAGGGTCTTTCTTCTCTCACTCTCACATTCCTTTCTTCATAGTGTGGTGTTTATTCTTTCTGGCAGTCCATTCTGTCTCCTGTCTCTCTGTCTCTGATGGACTCTTCTCTGTAGTCCTCCAGCTATGACTAGTTTGCGTGGAGGGGGAGGGGAAAAGGAAGGGGAATTGAGATCAGTCCAGCCACAAGGGTCCAGCACCTGCCATGTCAAAATGCTAAGCTAAGCTCTCAATTTTTTGCCCTTTGGGGATAAAGGGTTTAGTAGGGAAAAAAGGTGTGTAGAAACTTCATTGCCAGTGTGGTGTAACATCTGTGAAAGAACCTGTTAAAGCTTAGGAGCTATGAAGTACGAAGGAGGGAGGGCTGCAACTTCTGGTCAGGGGAGGGAGGGTTCTGCAAGATGCTTTGCAGGGCCTCTCATCTCCAGGGTGAATAAAATCTTCAGTGATAGACTGAGGAGTTCTACTTCAATGCATTTAACCTTATTATAATGTCTATTAAAAAAACAAAAACAAAATACACGTTTCCTCTTTGACTTGTGTGACTCCCGATTTCTTCCTCTCATTTTGTAAAAGAGGTCTGTGTCAGTGTCCCTCTGCTGGAAAGCTCCCACCTCCACCCTAGCCCACCCTTGCGTTAGAAACTAGGGCTGTCGTTCACGTCGGGGAGTCTGTGAATAGCAATTCAATAATTTAAGTTGTTTTGCTTTGAGTCTAAAATATATTTTATTCTAACACTTCTTGAAGCAATAGTCCTTGACTGCTTCCGCAGTCATTTTAAGAAGTGCTGCTTTTCCTCAGTGTTACTTGTATGCTTTCATTCACATTCTTAAGTTGTCAGCTGGATGTTAGAACTTTAAAAATGAATTTTTTCCTGTGATTTTTTTGCTTTCCCAGTTGCCCAAACAAAGGTGATTTGGTGATGGAGGCTTTGTTGGAAGGAATGCAAAATCGGGGCCATGGCGGGTAAGTTTGCTTTTGACCTTAAGCTTTTCACTGTAGTTTTAAAAGCATATCTGAGTTATGCCTCTGATTATAATGTCCTTTGGGAGCAGAAGTGGTTTTAGTGTAAGTGTTGAATGCTAAGCTGATCCATGTTCTGTGTGTAGACAGTGTCTCTCTTCGGGGTGTCTGCCTCACTTTAGCAGTATGAAGATGGATGCTTGCCGTCAGCCCAGCTTGAGTTCTCTAGCCTGAAAAAGGAAAAGTACAGAGGTTTCCTGGCACAAGCCCAAATGTTGGTGCCTTTTATTTTTGAAAAGTATTTAAACCTTCGAAGTTACAGCTCTCTGTGGCCATTGCTGGGAACCTCTTTGAATCTACTACAGCTATAATGCTCACCAGTTTTTCCAAGTCCCTCTATACTGTGTTCTTTCTGCATTATCTGGCATCTCCTGAAACTCGGAAGGACATCAGTAAATTCCCAATATTAAGGTAGACTGTAGTAAATTTCTGATAATAAGGTGGGAAGAAATACTTGAAATAAATCTGGCCCAAGGATGGATTTCTTGAAGTAGCTCTTAAAATTATATTATCACTTTTCTAGCAGATAGCCTGATAGCTTCTAAGGCGGCTAGATGAGAATGTGACATATAGTCTTGCCTGAACTCTTCCTGAAAGCTTCTCGAAAATATTCCTAAAGAGTTAGTTACTGGTTGTGGAAGCTTCACTCCACAAACCAGACTGAAAACATCAATCTTGTGTTTGACCAAATGACTTAGTTTTTAGGCTGACCTTTAAAGAAAACACGCTGCTGCTGATTCGATTCCAACTCATAGGCACCCTATAGGACAGAGTAGAACTGCCCGATAGGGTTTCCAAGGCTGTAATCTTTATGGACGCAGACTGCCGGATCATTCTCCTGTGGAGTGGCTAGTGGGTTCGAGCTGCCAGCCTTTCAGTTAGCAGCCAAGTGCTTTTATCACTGCACCACCAGGGCTCCTTTAGCTTCACCATTAGGGAGGATAAAATATTCTTTGGAATAATTAATCATCTTAATTTGAGTATAAAAAGCAAAAGCTCAGAAATCCTGTTCTTTGCTTCTGGTAATTTACTTATCAACATTGTTCGTTTTTAGGTAGATTTACATCTTGATATGTTTTTATGCGTGAAGGATGAAAAGCCACTTGGACGTATGTTCTGTGTTCTTACTAGTCTGTGTTGTTTACAGGGGATTTTTGACATCTTGTGAAGCAGAACTTCAGGAGCTCATGAAACAGATTGACATAATGGTGGCTCATAAAAAATCTGAATGGGAAGGTCAAACACATGCTCTGGAAACTCGCTTAGACATCCGTGAACAGGAACTTAAGACTCTTAGGAGTCAGTTGGATATGAAACATAAAGAGGTAAAACAGTTGTTTTCACTCATCTTTTTGATATTTTGACCTTTTTCTATTAAACATTTTTCTTAAAAATTTATTCAGGAAAACATTTGTATACCAGGTTAGCTTCTGTATTGTCTTTTATTATAATTCTGATGGTTTCTTTTACAAGAAAAATTTATTGTGGAAATACGTAAAAATACTAATATTTATTTCAAAGATCATGTTACCTTGGTTATATATAATACACACACGATTTCTTTAAGAGCTCTTTAAGAGATGAAAGGGTGTCACACGATCTTTGTGTAACCTTCATCCGATTACACATCGCTATTTACATTCACCAAGTTTAGTGAAGGTTGTTTTTGGCTAATATAAAAAATAAATAAATAAGCCCAAACTTCAACAATTTGCCTCTTTTGTTTAGAAAACCTTTTTAAAAATATTTTTATTTTAACCATTGTTAAAAATGAGAGGAAAAGAAAGAAAAGAGAAAAATAAAAATCACTTGCAATCCTACCACCCATAGATAGTGGTGATTTGGGAGGAAAGTTTAATAATATTTGCAGATTGGTTTCTCATAATTTAGCCGATACAGTAGGAAGAAGTATACCAAATATTGGAAGAAAAGTAGAAAGCATTTGTAATGCAAGAGTTACCTCTAAATTTCTGCCCTGAATGTCAGTCTAAGAAGGATTGGAAAAGCTGTGGGGAAACACTGTCCCAAGCTCTACTGTGATGGGCATTCTTACCAGTAGAATCACTACTCATTAATGCCAGTATCAGGTTATTCATGTACATTTCAGTCAGTGGTAAATACTGAGATTATGATTTTGTCAGTGACACTTATCAAGAGTAGTTTAGAAATGTTTCAGGTAACAAAGAATAGGGTAGGCTCAATAAAAGTGTTTTTATGCTTTTGAAAGGAATCTCTCAGTGGTTGGCCAGTTGCACTTTGGATCAAAGCAGTACATAGTAATATTGGCTGTTCAAATTCAGTTTTCTGGGAATGCCAGTTGCCAAACTGGAATTCATTTTAAAATTTGTTTAAAACTTTTAGAATCTATTTTAAAATCACACCTCATGCAAAGATATAGAAGGTGATGGAAAAAGTGCATGGAATGATAATCATGTTTACTTTTTTCAAACTGTAATTTAACTAAGGTCATTGCTCCTTTTTCTGGTAAGATACTTTAGCTATCACTTCTTTATTTCTCTTAGGACAGAACAAAAGTAGCTCTGGATAGTAAGTTAAAGTGAGAGTAGTTTCTTAGTTAAGAAAACCACTATATATATAGATATCTAAATTGTTCATTTTGTTAGAAACCCATTAAAGAAATTCCTGTGTGTGCCGTTATGAGAATATTTAACCACTCCAAGGCCAAGTTTGAACTAATTCCCATAGCTTAGTTTTGGTTTCAAGGGCATTATTGCCATCACTTTATACCTTAAAGAGAATTCTATTAGAGGATAGAAAGGATAGTTTCCACAGTACGGATTTGAAGATTACAAGTTTGGTCTGGGGACATATAAGAAATTTAGAATTGTAGCTGTCTGGTCAATTTGCTGCTTCATTGGTTGGGCTGCTGAAAGTTGATTACATTTCTAGAAGTAATATACTTTTACCAAACACTGGTAATGGGAATCTGTTCCATAGAGTTTGTGAAATTGTGTTGCATTGAAACACTTCTTTCCAGTGAGGGTTCTAACATGTCTATAATCTGTTTTGAGCAATATGTAATATAAGAACTATAAAATAGGGTTTTAAGTTGTTGTCATTCTAATTTATTTGAAGGGTAAAGGCGCAGTCAGCCCTCTGGTGTAAACAAATGAACAAAAAAACCAAACCAAACCCACTGCCATCCAGTTGATTCTGATTCAGCAACCCTATAGGACAGAGTAGAACTGTCCTGTAGGGTTTCCAAGGCTGTGATCTTTACAGAAGCAGACTGCCACATCTTTATGCTGCGGAGCAGCTAGTGGGTTCCAACTGCTGACCTTTTGGTTGGCAGCCGAGTGCTTTAACTGCTGCGCCACCAGGGCTCCAGCCAGTGCTATTCAAATGACTGGTCCACAGTGAGATAAAGAGCTCGCATCAGAATGTAAATCAGCACTTCGTCTTTCGTGGAAAGGTTTTGCTACGTAAAAATTTCAGTTGAACTAAACAGTGTGCTTAGTAACATAGTTGATTTACATTCTGCCGCTCAACTGCCAACCAAAAGGTCAGCAGTTAGAATCCACTAGCCGCTCCTTGGAAACCTTATGGGGCAGGTAGTTCTACTCTGTCCTATAGGATCACTGTGAGTCACAATTGACTGGGCGGCAGTGGGTTTGGTTTTGGTTTCAAGCTCCTTGTCTCATGGTGGACTGCTGTTTGTGACCAGCCCCAGCCCACCTACGGATCATACTTGAAGGAGCACTAGTGTAAAAACTCATTTTGTAAGTTAATGCTTTATGTGTTTTCTGATTACACTGTTGGGCTTGGATTGATCTTAATGGGCATTTCTACTGCTGTTACCTTCTAACACCCTACAGGGCAGATTGACCTAATGAAACAAGGAATTTGGAGTACTAGCTTTGCCTCTGTTCACCTGAATGGACTTGGACAAATAATTTAACCTCTCTGAACCTGTTTCATTAGGTTTAAAATTACGGGAAAAGACAAATCATGCCTATGTCCCATTGTTGTAAAGATTAAGTTATTGTGAAAGAAGCAACTTTGAAAACTACAAATTGTATTTAAATTTATTATTTATTTTAGCTTTCTTCTGTTATTCATACTGACAGTTTCCAACCTTGACTCTCATTTCTCTACCTAATACCACTCCCTCACTCTCAGCGGTTAACCTCTTTTTCCTCCTCCTTTTGTTTAAGAGATTTACTGAGTACCTATTATAAGCCAGACCCTGTATATAAATGAAATTAAACATTTTCTTCACATTTAGTGTTTATGCTTGCAACGTATAATAAAGAAAAAGAAAAGTAGTTCTGCAGGGCTTATAAGGAAAAGCAATGGTCATCTGCCCCACCCCTCTGAACCTAGGATTCTTGCTTCTCTGAAGCAGTAATTTCAATATTGTTAACTGTTTCTTTTGATATTCACCCCAGATTTCTGAACAACATTTTCTATTTCTTGATTTTTAATTTTAGTTATTATCTAAAGACTTGCTACTGTGAAACACGAGGGCTTTTCCCTCTTACGTACAATTTTCATTCCCTCATCCTGCCAGGATTGTATATCATAATTTTTGGTCAGCTCAGCATTCAGTATTTACATTTTTAAGAGGTTAAATATTTTTCACAGTTGAGTCAGATAATATAACTATGATCAAACTTATTTCTTGTACAACTTTTTGTTTTCTGAGAATTAGTCTTATTTTTATTTGCTTTTTTTTAACTTACCTAGCATTGATTCTTCCTCAATTCTCTTACACAAGCGTGAGTCTTCTCTCAGTGTTCAAACATATCAGCTAATCTATCCATGTCCTTTTTTTTCTGTGAAGCCATCTTTCCTGTAGCTTGCCATTTGCAAATACAGGTAGGTTACTGTCTCAGAAGGAGCCCCAGTAACAGTGGTTAAAGCACTTGGCTGCTAACAGAAAAATCGCTATGAGTCGTAATCGACTTGATGGCAGTGGGTTAGGATTTTCTAATATGGTGTTTGTGAAGATACAGCAAGGTTGAAAGTAAAAGATAAAATAGAAGGATATAATATGCAAACACTTTAAATACAAAGATTCTGTAGCTCTATTGATACCAGAAAAAAAATACTTGAAGCAAAGAGCATTACTGAAGATGATGAGGTACATGTCATATTGATAAAATACAGAATTTCAGGATATGTAACTGTAGCAGACATTCTTTATGTCCTGTACCGCATCACCTTGCCCCCTAATTTCATTTTAGATACAATAAAATCTGCAAAAGCAAGAACCTGTGTAAGGTGGAAACCTGTCCGAGAAGGAAAACTCAAAATATTTCCCACTAAAAGGAGCTATAGAAAAGCGATAAGACTGCATCCTGTCAAGGGCAGAAAACTTGCCAGACGCAGAACAACGAGGCAGTCTCATTGAGTTCCAGCTCTCACAGGTTTCACTATATTATAGACAGCTCCCTGCAGACTGCTAGCATACCACCACACTATGGCTTTTCTTTCTGGAGCTTTGGAAAACTGTTTAGGTGAAACCTGGAAGTCTGGAGGAGTTAACCCTCCCAGGTCAACCTTCAAGCAGTGGAGGGACTGGAATATGTAGATAAATCCCCCAACTTCCCATTCCTTTGAAGGACAATCCTGATTAACATTCATAAATGTTCTCACTTTCTCATTATTTTTTCTCTAGAACTCCTGTAGTAGGAAGAACTAGTTGTTCCGTGAACATTTTGGTTCTGTTGTCTTCATTAATAGTTGATATTCTTACTTTTGTTTATTGATCAGTCACTTAATCAGTGTTGCATGAAAATCAGTAATACTATTCATTGGAACTTGAAGCCCTCATTTCTGCTCTTTAGTGTTAATAGTATTTTATTTTCTGGTAAGGTGAGTTCTACATCATTGCTCTTAGTGTTTTTTCAGAATAGCTTTTCCAGAATATTTTTTACCCTTTGGTAGTGGACTTTATTTCCAAGAAAATCTTACGGAGCAGTTCTACCCTCTAATACATGGGGTCGCCATAAGTCAGAATCAACTTGACAGCAGTGGTTTGTGTGTGTGTGTGTGTGTGTGTGTGTGTGTGTGTGTGTGTGTGTGTGTATGTGTGTGTGTAGCTATATTCATATCAGACTTATTTCACCTAGCATGTTTTCAAGGCTTATCCGTTTTGTAGCATGTATCAGAACTTCATTTCTCTTTATGACTGAGTAGTTTTCTGTTAGATGTATATTCTGCGTTTTGCTTATCCATTCATCTTTTGATGGATACTTGGGTTTTTCCACTGGCTATTATGAATAATGGTGCTATGAACACTGGTGCACCCTGCTTTCAATTTTTTTGGGATATACCTAGGAGTGGGAATTGCTGGGTCATATGATAATTCTGTGTTTAACTTTTTGAGGGATCGCCAAACTGTTTTCCACAGTGGCTGCACCATTTTTTGTTCTTACCAGCAATGCATGAGGGTTCCAATTTCTCTATAACCTCACTAACACTTATTTTCAGCTTTTTGGTAATAGCCATCCTAGTAGGTATAAAATGGTGTATCATTGTGGTTGTGATTTGCATTTCCCTATTAACCTTGAACATCTTTTCATGTGTTTACTAGCCGTTTGTATATCTTCTTTGGTGAATGTCTTCCAATATTTTGCCCATTTTTAAATTGAGTTGTTTTGTCTTTTTGTTGTTGAGTTGTAGAAGTTCTTTATATGTTCTGGATACAGAACCCTTACCTGATACATGATTTGCAAATATTTTCTCCCATTCTGTGGATCTTCTTTTCATTTGATAATATCCTTTGATGCACAAAAGTTTCTAAGTTTGATGCAGTCCAGTTTATCAGTTTTTTCTTTTGTTGTTCGTGCTTTTGGTGTTGTGTCTAAGAATCCATTGCCAAATCCAAGGTCATGAAGATTTACCCTTATCTTTTCTTCTAAAAGTTTTATGGTTTTAGTTCTTATATTTAGGCCATTGATCCACAGGGTCGCTATGTGTCAGAATTGACTCAACGGCAATGGGTTTTTGATCTATTTTAATTTTTATGTATGGAGTAAGGTAGGGGTCTAACTTTATTTTTTTGCATGTGAATATCCAGTTTTCCCAGTACCATTTATTGAAGAGACTGTTCTTTCCCCACTGAATGAACTTGGCACTCTTGTTAAAAATCCATTGGCTGTAGATGAATGGTTTTATTTCTGGACTCTGTATTCTATTCCACTGGTTTATATTTCTATCCCTATGCCCTTTCCATACTATTTAGTTACTGTAGTTTTGTAGTAAGTTTTAAAATTGGGAGATGTGAGTCCTCTAATTTTGTTGCTCTTTTGCCAGATTGTTTTGGCTATTTGGAACCTCTTGCAATTCCATATGAATTTGCAGATTGGTTTTTCTATTTCTGCAAAGAAGGCTGTTGGAATTTTGTTAGGGATTGGATTGTATATCCTTCTGAACAACAAACAAAAAACACCAAACCTGTTGCCATCGAGTCGATTCTGACTCATAGCAACCCTATAGGACAGAGTAGAAGTGCCCCATAGGGTTTCCAAGGAGCAGCTGGTGGATTTGAACTGCTGACCTTTTGGTTAGCAGCTGAGCTCTTAACCACTGTGCCACCAGGGCTCCATATATCCCTCTGGGTAGTATTTAACAATATTTAGTTATCCAGTCTGTGAATACAGGATATCATTCCATTTATTTAGGTCGTCTTTAATTTCTTTCAGCAGTGTTTTGTAGTTTTCAGTGTACAAATCTTTCACTTTCTTGGTTAAATTTATTCTTAGTTTTAGTTATTTTATTCTTTTAGATGCTGTTGTAAATTGGATTATTTTCTTAATTTCCCTTTCAGATTGTTCTTTTCAGCTGTAGAGAAACACAACTGATCTTGTATGTTGACTTAAATATTTTTTTAAAAGTAGAGTTTTATCTTTTCTTTTTTATTGATTATATTTATCCATTCTTCTAGTTTGAACTTCAGAATCACTTTTTCAAGTTAAAAAAAAAAAATCCTACTAGTATTTTTATTGGAATTGCCTTATTTTTTTATTTTTTGTGATTGAGATACCTGCCTCCTGTTCCCTGTTCTTCCTTCCTGGCCCCTCCCTGCTACTAATGAATGAAGTTCAAGAGGTGTAGAGAAATATTGATGGAGGTGAAGGCTAGGTATGAAAGTTGTGACTGATATGAAACCATCAAAAAACAGGTTAAGATAACTTTCTTACTCTGATTGGTGACACTGGTTTACCTGAAGTAGGGAAAATGACAAAGCAGGTACAAACCTCCTGTTGTCTTTGTTTGACATTACTATTCTGCACTTTGATTTATGGAAATTATTCTTAAGATCTCGTAGATTTTTGTTCAGTCTTCTTAGTTTCCAAGATTCTTAAAACCTTTCACTTTTTTCATGAGGTATTTGATAAAAAGTGTTGAGAATAAATCAGACAGTAAGAGCAAGTTTCACCTCAACCTAGAAATTCTAGAATAGTTTTCTATTTTTTTGGCAGTGTTATGGGTTATTAAAGTAACTAGATAATTGATCTCCTGAGGAGTGGGTATTACCGTATATAATTTGAGAGCTTGTGTTTATGGATAAGTACAAAGGTCATTTCCTATTTTTATGTTTCAGGGATATTGTTTCAATGCAAATAATGAAAAATGCTACCATTTATCTGCTTTTAGGTTGGAGTATTGCGTCAGCAAGTAGAAGAACATGAAAAAGTCAAGCAAGAAATGGCCATGGAGTATAAGCAAGAGTTAATGAAACTACATGAAGAAGTGAGATTTTAATTCTGTTATATGTTTTGTAATTCTTTCTCTTTAACCCTTTGAGAATTTTGTTAATGAGCCATTTTCTACTTCGGAAAGTGGGGAATACATATTCCTTGGGGTGTGAAAATCTATTTTTCTGTTCTTGAGTCCAGACAAAGAATCTTGCTAAGTATATGTTTGATGCTGCCTGGAACAGGGATTCTAAAATGTGTTTCTTGGTTGAGTACCTGAAAGAAATAGAGCTATTTTTGTATAATACTGTGAAATATGTATAGCAAAAACTTACATTTAAAAGTTTAATTTTTGACTTAAATCAGTGACTAGATTGTAAATAATGGAGGAGCCAAAGCTTTAAAACACATTTTGAGCTAAAAACTCTAAAATAAGAAAATGTTATTAACTCAATTTTATTCCTCAGATTGGGAAAAAACTATTTTTATTTTGTTTTAATTCAAAATAGTCATCTCTTGCTTACTGAATAACAGTATTCCACATGAGCATGGCTCAAGAACCACAGGCCTAGAAGAAAGAAAAAGAGTTTTTATTTGCTGCTTTATTGTGTGTGTGTGTCTGTGTGTGTGTGTGTGTGTGTGTGTTTAGGTGAGAGAAGGTTCTTAAGGGCAAGGCTATTGTAATAAAAAGTTTTGTTTAAAAAATTATTTTTCCTCTACTCAATGTATTTCTTTGCTTGCCCTTATTTTCCATGTATAGTTTTTAGTTCTGTTTTGTGTTTTAGTTTGCAAATCTAACATGTTCTCAATCTGTTTTTAATAGTACTGTTTAGCACTTGCTCTTGCTTTTATAATACCAATTTGTCCCATTATCGCTGTTTACAAATTCTTAAATTGCAATTGTAGAAATAACTGTCTCTACAGTTAGGCAGACTGAAGAGAAGCTATGAAAAGCTACAAAAAAAGCATATAAGAGACTCCAGAGGAAACACCAAAAGTCACAGGGAGGATCGGTGTGAAATCGAGAGGTTAACTGGAAAAATAGAGGTATGTTCATAGTAATAAGTTGTTCACAGTGATTGTCAGCCTTCATGTAGGAAAATGCTGTTTCTAATAGTGCTATTTCCTAAAACCAATTTTCTGCCACTTCCAGGACTGCCACTGAGCTATTTCAAAGGTGGGTGGGTGATCTACTGTATATCCTATCATCGTCTGGCTCCCTGTGGTTAATGGCGTTACTAGCTATAAGTAATTCTCAACAGAGCAGTCCCACGCTTAGAGGGTATTTGGAAATGTATGGAGACATTTTTCTGGTTACTAGAATGACCAAGAGGTGCAACTGGCAATTAAGGACAGGGACCAGGGATACTAAACATGTCCAGGACTGTCTTACACAGGAAAAATTAGCCCAACCAAAATGTCCATATCTTGCCCATTGAGAAACATTGACTGCCATGGCCAGTGTCCTTGTTGTTTTTTTTTTTTTTTTTTTTTTAAGTCATTGTATCTTGATTATAGGGTAGGGGCTTAGTAAATGTTGAAAGTACATGACGTTTTTATACAGAGAGCCACGGTGGCGCAGTGGTTAAGCACTCGGCTGCTAACCGAAAGGTGGGTGGTTTTTACCCAGCAGCTGCTCCGAGGGAGAAAGATGTGACAATGTGCTCCTGTAAAGATTTACAGCCTTGGAAACTGTATGGGGCAGTTCTGCTCTGTCCAGTGGGGTCGCTATGAGTCAGAATCAACTCCACAACAACAGCTTGGTAATCTTTTATATCAGATTGTTTATCCTCAGTTCCCATTTAGATCTATTAAGCCATTCACTTCTTTTTTGCTGACTTGGTTTTTATTAAGACTAACTCCATTATTATTATGTGTATTGATTCCCGGGAGGACTTAAGGGAGGCATTAAAGTATTATCGCCAAGAGTAGATGAAGGAGCAGCATAAGGCTGTTATGCCTTTTACCTTGAATCTGTTACTCCTGTCCTCTGTCTACACCAGCACTTCTCCAGTGTGCGTACAAATCACCCAGTGTGCTTTTTCGGCTCTCAGAGATTCTGATCCTATAGTATGGTGTGGGACCTAGGAATCTGCATTTTATATCAGCTCTCAAATTCTGATTTGAGAAACATGATTCAGCATCTTTGTATGATTACTTAAAATTTTTCTACTCAGGGTGACCTGTTACCCACAAATGCTAGTATATTATTACTATCTAGAATTGTAATTTCTGTGTTTAATATTCTTTTACATCTCAATATTTTATTTGAGTTTATTTGAAATTACATTTGACTAGCTTAGAATCGGAGGACTGCACAGATAATGCTTCCCCTCCAACTCTTTTCAATAATCTATTTCTTCCTCCAAATCCCTCTTGTCCTTCTTGCTCCTCATTGCCACTGCTTGACTGTTCTCTCTTCTTTCTGCCTTAGAAACCCCATCTTTGAATATCATGTCATCTTCTGTTCCCTGGGTTATGCCCCAGCCTCACAGATTTTAACTCCCAGCTCATTGTCACTCTCTTCAGCATTACTCCTGTCACAACCCTTGAGGATTTAAATGGCCACAGGGTTAATGCTTATAATACCCTGGCCTTTGCGTTCCTTGACCTTCTTTTCTCCATAGATATTTTCATCTTCTCCCTGTGTCAACTGCTTATTCCCATTGCCTTGTTATTACCAATACTTGCAACCCCCTTAGACCCTCATGTTCAAGCATCTCACTTTCTGACTACCATTCTCTGTCTTCCCAGCTCACTCCCCAGCAGGACCTTCAAGCCATTGATTTCTGCCAAATTTCACTGCTGCAGATTGACCTTATGACCTCACTTACCAGTCCTTACCCAGCTTAAATTCCATAGTTAGTCATCATAATCACTTCCTTACATTCCCCTTCAACTCCTGTGCCCCTCTATTTCTTTATCGTACTTGCTTGGCAAAACCACAACCGTAGTTAAATCCAGCTTTCTGCCTACTAGCTGCCTGCCCTTTGTGACTGAACATGGCTGGAGAAAAACACAAGCATGCTGGCTGGTCTCAAGCTATGAGTCGGAGTAGGCTCAACAGCACCCAACAACAACAGCAGCCTCAAATGCTTCCTAATACTGCACATTATCATATTGTATTTCTTTTCATTCTCCCACTTTCCACAAGGACTGTTTCATACTTTCTTTTCTTCTCAAACTTTCAACACTTTTTCCCACATTCTGATTCTTGGGTGATAATCTTGCTTTCTATTTCACTGAGAAAACAGAAGCAATGAGAAGAGAACTTTCACAAACTCCCAACACTACGTCTACCCATCTGTCTGCATCTCTACTCACATATACGGCCTTCTTTCCTAGGGGAAGGGTCCCTGCTCTCTCTTCTACCCTACTCAAGATGCTGTTCCTGCAATTCTTCTCTCTTTTCTGCATCCTCATTTTTTTCCATCCAAACTTCTTCGCTCTTAAATTTCCTTTCTTGACTCCACTTCCTTCTCTGGCTACTGCCCTATTTTTCTCCTTCATTTTATAACTAAACTCTTTCAGGCATCTATATTGTCTCTAGTTCCTTTTCTCCTGTTGTTTCTTGTGCTCATTCCAGTATGGCTCTTGCCCCCTCACTCTAAAGAAGCTGTTTATGTAGAGGTCGTCAAGGACCACCACATCACTAAAGTCAGCATTTGCCTGCAGCATTTGACCCAGCTAGTCTTTCCCTCTTGACTTGGCTTTGAGAAAAACCACACTTTCTTGGCTTTCCTCCTACTTTATTAGCCCTTCTTTTTCAGTATCTTTTGCTCCATAACCTTTTGACATTGAAATGCCGTAGGGTCCTGTCATTGGGCCTCTTTTTTTTCCTGTCTGTGCCTTCTCCCATGGTGATCTCATTCAGTCTCATAGCTTGAAATATTGTGTATATGTTGATAATTTCCAAATTTATGTATTTAGTCTTGATCTTTCCAATACAGAATAATTTCCAACTGCCTGTTTTACATTTACACTTGAATGTCTAAAGCTATCTCAAACTTAACATATCCAAAATAAAGGTCCCAATTTTCTCTTCCCCATCAGCACTAGACCTCTCATTCCCATTTCAGTTGATGGTAACTTAATTCTTCAGTTTACTCAGGCCTAAAACCTTGGAGTCACTCTTGATTTCTGTTTTCTCAACAGAACAGCCAGAATGATTCTGTTATAATGTAACATTATTTAATGTTACTTCCTCTGCAAAAACTTTCCAGTAGTTTCTCATAAAAGCCAAAGGAATTGTAGTGATCTACACAGTCTGTTGTTGTTGGGTGCCATCAAGTTGATTCTGACTCACACTGGCGGTTTGAACGCACTCAGCAGCTCTGTGGGAGAAAGACGTGGCAATCTGCTTCTATAAAGATCACAGCCAAGAAAAGCCTATGAGACAGTTCTACTTTGTCACGTGGGGTCACTATGAGACTACATAGTCTAACTCCCTATTAACTCTGATCTTCTTTTCTTCTGGTTTCCCTTTTGCTTATTCCATTCCAACAATACAAGCCTCCTTGCTCTTTCTAAAACACACCAGGATGCTCCCACTTCAAAGCAGTTGTAGCTGCTGTTACTGCTGCCCTGAATAGTATGACTTCATCCCCCATTTCCATAGGTATTTACTTAAATGTTATTTACTCAGTCTGACCATCCCTTTTCAAAATGGTAACCTCCAACTCTCTGACCACTCCGTGCTTCATTTTTATCAAAACACCTGTTACTGTTTAATGTAATATAATGAATGTGTTATCTTTTGCCCTCCAATTGAGTATGGCTGGGATTTTTGTTGTTTTGTTAAATGTTGTATTTGCAGCACCCACAATAGTACCTGGCGTATAGTAGAACAGATGGATGAATGAACAAATGAATTAATGGATATCAGAAACCTGGTTGACAGAGTAATTACACTGAGGAGCATAAAACTTCTGGAATTGGGTGTTCTAGTGGGCCGTGGTAGACTGTTTTCCTTTCCCTTTGATTTGCCCCATTTTCATAGCTATTAGGCTCATTTTCTTGATCATGCAATTTGAAATTACTTGTGATTTGTTTTTAGTTGTTTGACTTTGGGTTTCAAATATCTGTTAAAATTTAGTATCAATTTCCCTTCTTATTCCAGTCTTTGCACTTCTTTTGAGATAGCAAAAGTTTGGATATTGAAGGACATCGTGTTATCTAAGTCTGTTCGGTTCCTGAGCTTTGGATACTGAGAAGTAAGAATTAGACTACCAAGGGATATGTCTGAAAATTTATTTGAATCTGTTTAATTCAGGTTTGGATATCAAGAATGTGGATAATGAGGGATATCTGTAATCATATTTTGAAATTATAGTTAGCATCAATTTTATGAAAATCACTAGAAAATTACAGCAACCCTTGTTGTTATTAGGTGCCGTCAAGTCAATTCTGACTTGTAGTGACCCTGTGTACAAGAGAATGAAACACTGCCTGGTCCTGCGCCATCCTAACAGTTGTTGCTACGTTTGAGCCCATTGTTGCAGCCACTATGTCAGTTTGTCTTGTTGAGGGTCTTCCTCTTTTTCACTGACCCTGCACTTTACCAAGCATGATATCCTTCTCCAGGGACTGGTCCTTCCTGATAACATGTCCAAAGTATGTGAGACAAAGTCTCATCATCTTTGCTTCTAAGGAGCATTCTGGCTCTACTTCTTCCAAGACAGATTTGTTCCTTCTTCTGGCAGTCCATGGTATAGTCAATATTCCTCACTACCACCATAATTCAAAGACATCAGTTCTTCTCTGGTCTTCCTTATTCATTGTCCAGATTTCACATGCGTATGAGGCGATTGAAAATACCATGACTTGGGTCAGGCGCACCTCAGCCCTCAAAGTGACGTCTTCGCTTTTAATACTTTTAAAGAGGTGTTTTGCAGCGTATTTGCCCAATGCAATGTGTCGTTTGATTTCTTGACTGCTGTTTCCATGGGCATTGATAAGTGAATCCAAATAAAATGAAATCCTTGACAGCTTCAGTATTTTCTCCATTGATCATGATGTTGCTTATTGGTCCAGTTGTAAAGATTTTTGTTTTCTTTATTTTGAGGTGTAATCCACACTGCAGGCTGTAATCTTTGATCTTCACCAGTAAATGCTTCAAGTCCTCTTTGCTTTCAGCAAGCAAAGTTTTGCATCTGCATATCACAGGTTGTTAATGAGTATTCCTCCAATCCTGATGCTGCATTCTTCTTCATATATTTCAAATAGTTAAGGCATTCAACTGTGTGGATCACAACAAATTATGGATAACATTGCAAAGAATAGGAATTCCAGAACACTTAATTGTGCTTATGTGGAACTGGTACATAGACCAAGAGGCAGTCGTTTGAACAGAACAAGGGGATACTGCATGGTTTAAAATCAGGAAAGGTGTGTTTCTGGGTTGTATTCTTTCACCATACTTATTCATAACAACCCTTAGGTGGCAGCAAATCTATGAAAATCAGGATGAACTCAGTATTCAACATCTGTGTTTCACTCTTTACCATTAGGATATTAAATTTAGAAAGACAGATATCCAAGAAGCACAGTATGTAAGGAATTCAGTATCACTCTGCAGTTATATCAGATAAGTGAGTAATGGGATTCCTGCTGTGGAGAAAGGTGCATGTGTACCCAGGGACATGGAGAAAAATTAAAGTGAATCTGGGAAGCAGTGACAAGAGGGATGCACTCATAAGTTAAGTACTTTAATTGTCTCTTCAGGAATTCCGTCAGAAATCACTGGACTGGGAGAAGCAACGCTTGATTTATCAGCAACAGGTATCTTCTCTGGAGGCACAAAGGAAGGCCCTGGCTGAACAATCAGAGATAATTCAGGTAGGTTTAAGACATTTTGAAAGTAATGAAGGCAGATAGGTTTTGATTAAATCTGAACTGCCTTAATGCAACTTACTGGTGCCAGACAGTCTATTTCAGCTTCTCTCTGCTAACCCCTTTCTTTTATTTAGTAAGCCTCTTTCCTTCTCTACTTACAGACTGGCTTATCCCCTTCAGCATCTAGACAGACTCAAACATCTCTTCCCCACACCACACACCACACCCCACTCCCAGTACCCCATGCACACAGGTCCTCGTGCACACCCACGGCCACTCATCCCCACTCTCTTGCCCTTATGCCTGCTTGCTCCTTTGATGTCTTGTTTCCTCACTAGCTCTCTTATTCTCTCACTCTGCTCTCTGTCACTGTTTTTTACATTCTCATGCTCACTCTACACTCATGCTTACTCTCCTACTCTGGATCTCTTGCTCTCACTTTCCTCTCTCTTTCCCCACCTCACCCCCACCCTCATTCTTTCTCTTTCTCCTATTCCATTTCTTTCTGTCTCTTGTCAGTCAGTCTCTGGCTCTTGCTTTGGCCTTCCTTCTGTTTGTGTCTTGCTCTGTCTCTGTGTCTGATAGCTGGGGTGCCTTGACTGGGGTCCCTAGGCCAGAGTGCTTCAGCTGGTCTGCCTGTTTGGACATAAATGTTGAGAGATTCATACTGCATTGGTGTGGACACTAATTATAAAAACACTACCTTTGTGGGAGTAGACCCTTTTTGGAGGATGAAGCTCTAGTAGAAACCTTTCTTTTATGAAGAATTACTGGCTTAAAACAAAAACAAAAAATAGACATCTAATTTAGGAATATCTCTTCTTAAAACATATTTAACTTGTTTCCTTTTTCATTTAAGAACCAAGTACATAAAGGGAAATGAACATAAAGGAACATGAATGTTTATGGCTTTCCATCATGTGCTAGACACTGTCTCAGTACTTATAGATGCATTTTGCATATGTTAGCTATTTAATATCCAGGTATTCTGTCAAGATTAGTAGTTATCCCACTTTTATAGAATGAGGAAACAGACTGGATAAGTTAGGAGAGCTAGAGGGAAGTTGCTTTTTTATAATCTATATATATATATATGTTGCTTTGAGTCTCAGTGTGTTGACTTTTGTTAGTCCCTTTGAAATACCAGCTAGCTCATAAGCAACCAAGAATGGCTCTGCTGTGAGTGACTTCACTCAGAATGTCAGAGAGAGCCCACAGCAGCCTCAAAGAAGAAAATTATTTTCTAGACTGTAGCAAACTATGCAGCCAGAGCAGACCAATGAAATCCCAGGATGTCTAGACCAGAGTTTTTCTGAATGCTAAACCATTTTACAAACTAATAGCTATAAGATATGGTTATATGTTAACTGTAGTCTTCAGATTGGCAGAAAAGCAAACTGACTTGTAATTTTCACAGTTCTTAGTTATTATCCATGGAGTGTGCTTATTATTGATTACAGATTCTTCTTTTATGAGAGTTTAATTAAAACTTCATTATGGGTGAAAATAGGATTTTTATTTACCATAATTTTGCTAGGACTAGAATAAGAAGCTTTAAAACAGCCAACATTTATTTTTCCTACAAGGAGTAGATTTTGTTTGAATACTCTTCTGATATTTTTGTTCTCTTATTGTTTAACTAATATAATACATTACTTTTAAGTGTATTTTTCCATCTTTCTTCCCTAGGAAACTAGCCAACGTTAAATCTTTCTGTGGTTCACTATGTACCAGTGCTGTATGGCCATCATTTTTTCTTGAACTTTTAAATAAACTTCTGTATACCCATTACTCAGCATTAATAATTATCATTTTGCCAATTTTGTTTCATCCCTCCCTCCTTTTTATTTTTGACTGGAATATTACAAAGTAAATCCTAGGTATTATCTTATTTCCCAACAAGTAAGGATTTTCTTTTTAAACATAACTACTGTGTACCAGTATCATATTAACAGAATAAATAATAACTTCTTTTTATTTAATTTTTATTGTTGTAATTTTAATGAAGTTTGCATTTCAAGTTAGTCTCCCATACAAAAGTTTATACATACATTGTTATGTGACCCTAATTGCTCACCCCATAGTGTGACAGCACACTCCTCCTTTCCACCCCTGATTCCCCATGTCCATTCACCCAGCTTCTAACCCTCTCTGCCTTCCCATCTCACCTCTGGACAGAAGCTGCCCATTTATTCTCTTGTATCTACTTGAGCTAAGAGGCACACTCCTCACGAGTATCACTTTATGTCCCACAGTCCAGTCCAATCGCTGTCTGAAGAGTTGGCCTCGGAAATTGTTTTAGTTCTAGGCTGATAAAGAATCCAGGGGCCATGCTTTCCGGGGTTCCTCCAGTCTCAGTCAGACCATTATGTCTGGTCTTCTTACTAGAATTTGAGTTCTGCATGCTATCTTTCTGCTGCTCCATCTGGGACTCTCTGTTGTGCTCCCTGTCAGGGTGGTCATTGGTGGTAGCCAGGCACCATCCAGTTCTTCTGGTTTCAAGCTGATGAAGTCTCTGGTTTATGTGGCCCTTTCTGTCTCTTGGGCTAATACTTTCCTTGTGTCTTTGGTGTTCTTCATTCTCCTTTACTCCAGGTGGTTGGGAGCAATTGATGCATCTTAGATGGACACTTGCAAGCTTTTAAGACCCCGGATGCCACTCACCAAAGTAGGATGCAGAACATTTTCTTAATAAGCTTTGTTATGCCAATTGACCTAAATGTCCCCTGAAAGCATGGTCCCCAGACCTCTACCCCTGCTACTCTGTCCCTTAAACTGTTTGATTGTATTCAGGAAACTTCTTACCTTTGGTTTAGTCCAGTTGTGCTGACTTCCCCTGTAGTGTATACTGTCCTTCCCTTCACCTAAGATAATTCTTATCTACTATCTAGTTAGTGAATAACCCTCACCCTCCCTCCCCACCCTCATAATCAAAGAATGTTTTCTTCTGTGTTTAAACCTTTTCTTGAGTTCTTATAAATAGTGTTCTTATACAGTATTTGTCCTTCTGCAACTGACTAAATTCACTCAGCATAATGACCTCCAGCTTCCTCCATGTGATAAGATGTTTCACAGCTTCATTGCTGTTTATTGTTACGTAGTATACTGTTGTGTGGATATACCATAATTTGTTTATCCATTCGTCCATTGATGGGCACCAAGGTTGTTTCCATCGTCTTGTTATTGTGAGCAGTGCTGCAGTGAACATGGGTGTGCATGTATTTATTGGTGTGATGGCTCTTATTTCTCTAGGATATATTCCAAGGAGTGGGATAGCTGGATCGTATTCTATTTCTAGCTTTTTAAGGAAGTGCCAAATCGATTTCCAAAGTGGTTGTACCATTTTACATTCCCACCAAAACAGTATAAGTGTTCCAGTCTCTCCACAACCTCTCCAGCATTTATTCTTTTGTTTTTTTTTTTGATTAATGCTAGCCTTGTTGGGGTGAGATGATATCTCATTGTAGTTTTGATCTGCATTTCTCTGATGGCTGATGATCGTGAGCATTTCTTCATGTGTCTGTTAGCTACCTGAATATCTTCTTTGGCGAAGTACCTATTCATATCCTTTGCTCATTTTTTAATTGGGTTATTTATCTTTTTGTTGTTGAGGTTTTGAAGTATCTTGTAGATTTTAGAGATTAAACGCTGATCAGATTTGTCGTAGCCAAAAATTTGTTCCCAGTCTGTAGGTTGTCGTTTGACTCTTTTGGTGAAGTCTTTTGATGAGCATAAGTGTTCAATTTTTAGGAGTTCCAATTTATCTAGTCTCTGTTCTGGTGCTTGTGCATTGTTACTTATGGTTCGTATTGTGTTTATGCCATGTATTAGGGCTCCTAGTGGTGTTTCTTCCATGATCTTTATAATTTCTTCCATGATCTTTATCGTTTTTGGTTTTATATTTTACGTCTTTGATCCATTTTGAGTTATTGTTTGTGCATGTTGTGAGGTATGGGTCTTGATTCAGTTTCTTGCAGATGGATATCCAGTGAGACTGTCTTTTCCCAATTAACGGACTTTGGGCCTTTGTCAAATACCAGCTGCTCATAGGTGGCTGAATTTATGTCTGGATTCTCAACTCTGTTCCATTGTTCTATGTATCTGTTGTACCAATACCAGGCTGTTTTGACTACTGTAGCGGTACAGTAAGTTCTAAAATCAGGTAGTGTGAGGCCTCCCACTTTGTTCTTCTTCTTGAGTAATGCTTTATTTATTCGCGGCCTCTTCCCTTTCCATATGAAGTTGGTGATTTGTTTCTCCATCTCATTAAAAAATGCTGGTGGAATTTGGATTGGGATTGCATTGTATCTGTAGATTGCTTTGGGTAGAATTGACATTTTCACTATTTTGAGTCTCCTTATCCATGAGCAAGGTATGTTTTTCAACTTATGCAGGTCTCTTTTAGTTTCTTGCAGTAGTGCCTTGTAGTTTTTCCTGGATAGATCTTTTATGTCTCTGGATTTATTCCTAAGTATTTTATCTTTTTGGGGCTATTGTAAATGGTATTGATTTGGTGATTTCCTCTTC